TTTTTCTTGTAAATTGAAAAGTTAAATCTTAATAGTCAATAGCAGGGGAAGATTATAATTCAGTGCAGTATTATTTAAATTACCTCTGTAAGTGGATTGTTCCTTAAAATATTTCTGTTTTCAGCTTCCTCACTGGGAGGGACCTAGACACTGGATGATACAAAATCTTATTTTCACCAGACAATCTAATTTTCTGGTATTCAATGTCCAGTACGCTTTGTGGAAACACTTTGACAATTACATAAAGTTGGGCTTCCAAATCCACTCTTGAGCATTTAAATGGATTGCACTAATTTTCAGAAGTGCTCAACAGCTCACATTAAAGTTAAGAGATATTTATTCATGTGTTTTAATTTCAGATTCATCTCTAAATAAGATAGCTTTATAGGCTAGATCCTGCCTTTTTTTATTTGGCTGTTTGTTTTGTTTTGTTTGGTTTTTGGGGCTTTTTTTTTTTTTTTTTGTTTTTTTCTTGTGTTAGACCAAACTCCTAATGAACTTATAGTGAGCTAATTGGCTCAGGATTATTTTAGGTCAACCAAGTAGATCTGAACTGGATGATTTATTTTTGACATGATTAAACTGGCTACAGAAGTTTTCATGGCTATGTCGTGACATTAAATCATGACATCAGAGTCTTGAGCTGAGCTGGGGAGTAATTTCATCTGAAGGGATAATGCAGTACTGCCATATAATATTGGCTATTTTTAGCAGAGATATAAGCCATATTATCCAGGAGGTATAATAATGCAAGAGCCCTGCCCTGAAAAGTGAACTAACAAAAGCAGTAGTGAAATATTTTGCAGATGACACTCTGAAAGACTTTGAAACTATATCTATCTTTATCTATATGTATCTTTATAAACCCCAAAGGAAATATTTATATTTAATTCTCCACTTATTTATTCATTGTCATTAGTGTGTCAAAGTTATTCTACCAATAATATGAGATAGAGATTGGCATCTGAGTGAGACAGAGTTCTGCTACTGATGCAGTAGGGTCTGAATCTATCAACTAAAAAAATAACAGGGTAGCACTCACAGATAGATATGGTATTAGAAAATAAAGCAATGGAAGGAAGTACATTATACATTAATTTTATACATTTTCTGACTCTCATTTCATCTTCCAAGAGAACTGGAGATGAAAACCTAAAAAGGACCTCAAAAGAATTATTTTAAACAGTGAGATGTATCACATTTTCTTTTAGCTGCTGTTATTACTTACCTTAAAAGAAGGTGCAAAAGAGAAATCTACAGCAAATGGAATGAGAGCAAAGGTAGGAAACCCAAAGTAAGCACTGTCTCAGGCTGGCAATTTTATATCATCTGCAAAAAGGTGCTTTGCCATCCAGCAGTTCCTAAGGCCAAAATCTAGCCCAAAGGTGATCAGAAACCTTCAAGGAAATAAAAAATGTAGTGGTAAAATCAAATCATAGAATCATAGGATATCCTCAGTGGGAAGGGACCCATGAGGTTCAATTCCTGCTCCTGCACAGGACACCCAAAAATCATATTATGTGCCCAAGAATATTGTCCAAACACTTGAACTCTGCTGAGCATGCTGTGATGTGGAAGCCAATTCCAGTGGCCTTCAAGCTGGGTGTTAAAGGCACTGCAGAAACCATGTGTTTTCCTGGACATAGAAGGGGTTAGCCAACCTCAAGAGAGAATTTGGGAAATGTAAATAGCATCCATGAAAGGTCCTTCTTCTACTATTGTTTCTTTACCAGCTCATGCTTTGTATCTCTGAGGCCTATCTCTTGATTTCTCTCTTGAGGATTCACTGTTACTGGTGTACTGAAATGCCTTATCACACACTCCTGGAAAAATTGCATTGAGTTGGACCTGTCTTGGCCCTGGAATGTGAGGGGCCACAGCCCAGGGATCCCTCTGTGCTGTACTGCTTGGGGTGCCAGCAAGGACCAAACAGCACCCAAGGAGTTCCCAGATCCCCCCTGGGAACTGCAGTGACCATCTTGACAGATCAGACCGAGCAGTGTGAACCCTACCCACAATTTTTCTCCAAGTCTTTGGCCTTGATGAGATATTTCAGTTGTCAGGGTTGTCTGAGAGCTTTCTTTCTACTGTTACAACTTTAGTCTGGAGTGTCTCACTATTTGCGCCTTATCTCAACACTTATTTTTTTGTCTTTCTTTCTTGGTTTGTCTTAACACATCCTGCTGAATTAATTCCATAGCTGTTGAACCTTCACAGTCAATAGACAAGACATATTTCTATGAAAAACCCTACTCCCTAATACAGAAACTGAATTGAGCAGGCTGAGAACTAAGCGTAGTATGTGAAACATCACAAAATCATCTGTTCTAAAAGTATTGAGTGGTTGCACTGAGGATGAGTGGCAGGGCTATGGGTGGGAGAACAGGTGATGTTTGGAAGATTGTCCTTGTGAAAGCCTGAAATGAGATGGGTGATGTTGGTGAACAGTGCAGTTACAGGGTAGGCCAGTTTGGTTAGCACTGTGCTGGTGGAAATGATGTGATTCTCGCCATGTAAACAAAGTTAAAGGCAATCACCATAAAAACCATGCAGCAATGAGCAAAATTAAACACTAAAGAGAAGTAAAGCATTAATTGAGCATGGAAACTCATGGCCTGGCATTTTTAGAGAAAGGTTTTGAATAGTCTCCTGTCCTACAACACAGCTGTCATAGAACTGTAATAAACAGTACTAAATTGTATCAACTCTGGGAAGTTAGAAAAATTGCATTGGAAAATATTGTGATTGTAATCATTCTTAATGGGAATCCTCAAATGTGACTGTGGGATCAGCAATAGTATTGATACCATAGAATGCTCATCCTGCAGCTATCCTGAGCTATTATGAATGATAATTTCCTAGCCTATCAAACTGCATCTGAGTATGTGAACCTTTGTGTTTGAGTTTGATATTTCATGAGAGTTACTAGGACTGATCTTGGATGCTCAGGCTTGCAAAACAATGGGCTTGCTGCACCACTTTCTCATCCATTTCCCCTCCAGCATTATTGCTGGTTTGTAGCATTTAAATGCTCTGATTACACCCCCCATTTACTGCTGCTGCATTGGCTTACTGCAGCATATCTTGGTTTTGAATCTGGGGAAAGCTTTTTCAGAGGAGCGGGGAGGGGTAAGCTGGAAGTAGGAGGTTGAGCTTTGCAAGTGAGGCTCTGGTTAAAAAGCAACACCAATGGACACAGCAGCCTTTGCCTGCATCAGACTTGCTATTGCAGTAAAAGCCCACTTGCTGACACCAATCATTTCTGTAAAATTTAAGCCAACCTCTTTGGGAGAGAAGATTTAATTAACACATAAACCCCAGAGTAACTATGACAATCTGCTTTCATAGTGATGAGAATAATCACGTTTCTATCCACTGTCAGTCCTTGAAGTATTACAGTTTTACGAATAATCTATAGTACATTTTTTCCCCTTGCACAATCAATCAGATCCTTTTGTTGTTTTCACACAAGAACATTTCTGTCTTAGAAATCTAGAAAATCTCTATATTTATCTGGTGCCTTGAGGGGCTACCTCTGGTTGTGTGACAGGAGGTCTCTTGAGCATTTTTGGCTAGTAGCATGAAGGGAGGCTGAGCAATTCCATCCTAACCAAGATCCACATGAGTTATCCCATTATTTAAATAGAGGTGCCCTTAGGGCAGTGCATGCAGAAACCAGTGAAAAAAAATCCACAACCAAAAAGAAAACCAACCAAAAGCAAAACCCAAACCCAGTGTTCATTGCAGACAATAAATAAAATAGTGGCAAGGAATTACCATGATGTAAAATTAGATCAAAAAGCTTTAACTCTGAGGTAGAAATAGTGACCTTTGAAAAAAGCTTTGAGAAAAATATTTTTCCCTTAGTTTTGTTGAAAAGATTGTGTCTAATACTACATGCTTTTTTTGACACCTTCTTCTCCTACTTATTATAAATCCTTGAAGGAACAAATACAGAACCTCTTTTTTCCTGTGGGTTAATCTCAGCAAAGTTGTTTCTGCTTTACCGTGGCATAAATTAGATATACTTGTAAGGTATAATTTTATGTCTTTGGGGCTTTAACAATGTTGAGAATAAATCTATGACCATAATTTAGACAGAGAATGTTGTCTCTGTTGTTTCACTGGACACTGTTATATAATTTCTGTATCTTTTTTTTATTTAATACTTTTTTATTTGGTTCCACAGTACTGAACAACTAAGTAAGGTAGGATCTTTGTATTAGGGATGGAATGTTCTTAATACATATTTGGACTTGTATCAGCCCTAATCACCTGAAATTTTTGCAAATATAAATTTTGCATCTGGATAAATGCTTTTTTAAATGATAGCAGTCATATTGTGTTAGGCTTGATTGCAACCTGTTTTCTAAATTAAAAAATGTAAATGTGGCATTGACAAAGGTTAAAAAGATTTAAAGGGGTCTCTGTCAGCAGTGTATGCACACACTAAACTAAATCCTATGTATCTAATCAGTGTCCTCTGGACTGTGTGTCTTGCTCCATTGTTTACTTTCAAATCCATAATAATTTTGTATCCTTTCACTGTGCAAAGATTCATTTTAAAATCTAATGAATTTAAAAATATGCTTTTCACTTGTCCATTTGATACCGAGCCTGCAATTTGACTTTCATTGTTTGTTTCCCTCCTTGTCTCGTCAATCCTTTTCTTTCTTTCTGTCCTTTTACTTTATTACATTTTTTATTGAGGACTGAGATGAACTGGTTGCTGCATCATGGGCCCATTACACTTCCTAACAATTCCATTTGCACCTTATTGTTTGTCTTATTGCTGGAAAATTCAGGTGATTCATCATGCCTGAAGAAGCACCTGATCCCAATTCCCTTGATATCACGATCACTATGTGACAGGAATACAGTTAGTGGTGGCTTTCAGACTCAAAGAGGCCAAGGTGATAACTCTTTTGGGACCTTTAGCCTCTCAAGTATTGATGAGTTCCATTTTTTTAATGTTCTGTTTTCTTGCTCCCTTTCAACAGCCCCCTAAGTGTGGAAAAGGGCTTGGAGTTAATAAAGGAAGTGGCAGATCTCCTGAAGCTGCAGATGAGTGTCTTCGATGATGTCAAGTATGTACATGGTATTTTCTCCTTTTTTGTTTTATTGGATGACTCATTTTTTAATAGTTTGTCTTACAAGGAAATATCTGATCTTTACTGTCAAAATCAAGAATGGGCAGGAGGGGAAAAAATAATATTGATGATCTTTGTAACATTACTTACACATGGGAACAAAGTATTTTGAGAAAATTAGAAAGAATGAAATTTTTTTCTTCTTTCATAGGGAAAAATGTTCTGTTCCAAATGCCATACAAATACTACCAACTTTATTTAAAAATTTATAGGTAAGGAAAGTCTTCTGAAGGGTCATTTTACCCAGAATTGCCAGGGGGAAAAAAGACATCAGAGATAGATAAAAACTTGGGTGCCTGGCTTTGAGTCTGGCACATGGCACACTAGGTCATGCTTTTTGGTCAGCTACTTATTTAACAAGTCACAGGGAGTTCAGCTATGCTGAACACTGGTTTTCCTTCTATGAATCATCCTGATGAATGCTCTGCCTGTTAATCTCATTAACTAGGAGGTTATGACCTGCCATGTCTAGTGAAGATTTTTAGATTGAGGATTTTCTGAAGGCATTTTGGTAGAAACATGTATTTCACAATACTTCAGCCTCTCTGCATAGAACATAAGGAGTTTGATGTAAAGGTAATTGAAAAGAAGGGTCAGCTGTGGGAAGGTTTTGAGAAAAGAAGTCACATTTTGGGCACACAGGAAATAACTGATGTCTGGGTAGCATCCAGCTCCTGCCTGTGTTTCAGCAGGTTTGGGACTACTTGCCTTGGCCCATGAGCTGGGTTGCTGAATTGCAGCATCTTTCTCAGCCTCACCTCTGCTGCCATCAGCTACTGTTTGATCTTCATTAACAGAATGAAATTAATTGCTTAATACTCTTTTTAAAATCATACTCTGATGATGTTTCGTCTTTAGTGGAAGTGTTTATTCTTGATTGTAAAAGGAAAAAAAATTACCTCTTCTATAACTGTATTGTATGGAGATATTGACTACTGGTGAGAAAATCTTTTCAGAAACCTGGAAAATACGTATTGGCTTTAGTTATTGAAAAGGAAAATATTTCCATATTTTGTTTATTTTGATTAATTTATTTTGGTTGTATCTCATGAAATACATTTTTTGTATGAATAATGAGTTTTTAAATTGAAAATAAAAAGAAATTCTATTCTCTTTCTTGTAAAGAACTTGACTTTGAACACTAGCAGATAAGGTCTATTGCACATTTAAAGGAGAAATCCCATGGAACAATTTCTCTGCTGAATCAGTGGGTTCAGCTTCATTAACTTCATTTATTTACAGTACAAGAGCACTTTTACCTACCTTTCTAATTTTTAATATAAAGCCTTTTTGTTATTTTTTATTGTTTGATAAATCACAACACATTGCAATTGATAGGCTGTAGACTTGTTCTCTAATGAAAAATATCCTTCCAGTGGTACAGCCAGCTGTGATTGACCTTTCTTTTAATGTGCAGAATTAGCTGCCTATTTTGCATCTATTAATACACAGTCACGTGACTGTACTGAAAATATTTGTATGGTCAGTACCTTAAAAGTGTGGTATGAATTACAGGAAGTCCAATCAGGACTGAGCATTCTTTCCATCCATACACTGTTTTTACCAGTCTTTGCCTTTTTAAAAATCTGTAAGTCTGTTAAGGGTTATCCTAAATCTCAAATTAGTGAAGAATTCATCCATAGTAAATTTTCTTTGTCCAAGAGAATGAGATGCTTTGACTCAAGTTAAGCCCATAAAGTACTAAAGGAAGGTGGACCTGACTAGTAGATAAAGCAGTAGTAGAAGCTTTAGACAAAGGCCTTGCCAAAAAAAGAGTTAACACTTTTTGTAGTTATTTTCTTGCCATTGCACGACTATCAGTGGAAAACTACAAAGTTGAGTACTCTGGTTATCTTCTCTGTGGCCTAATGGAGAGGGGCTCCAGGAAAAACCTGATGTCATGCCATAATCACCACTGACATATCAGGAAATATGCTTCTTACTTGGGCTAAGGCATCATGGGCGATTTATTTTATTTCACTGGTGGATAAAAGTACCCTCTTTTTTAAAGATTCTTTTTTTTGTAAAAATGGGAAGTTATGTAGAAAAAACTATCAGTCAGCCTGGGGAAAGAGGAGTTATGAAAGGGGTGAGAATTTGTCATACTAACCTACTTTAACTCTGACCTGAGTATTTACTTGGTCTAGAATTCTCAATTCTCTATTTTCTGTCCAAGAATTCCCAAGGTTAGAAAGTAACAGTGTAGACTTGGATTTTTTTAGATCATTGCAAACATTTCAGAGTAATGACATTAATGGGAATCACAGGGTTAATATGAGAGTATAAATAGGAATGGTGTGAGAACTGAGGAGAGAGGGTAAAAGATGAGTTCTTTTAAAATTCTTTAAATTATCAGTTATCAGTTTATAGTCCTTTCATCAGAAAAATAAAGTCAAACAAACAAGAACACACAAAAAACCCCCAAAAATCCAAAAAAGAACCAAACAGAGAAAATTTTAAGTAACTGCTTCACTAATAAATTACTGTCTTTGGTTAGTTTTGTCTGCAAATATCTTTCACTCTTCCCTATATTTTTAGTTTTTCCCTGTGCTTTGGAGTTACGTAAGTGATCAATTGCTTTTGCCATGGATAGGAATCCAGCACCCTGTGTTAGCTCTTGATTAGCTGGTGCTTGGTAGCCATCAGCTTATTTTATCTTCTGTCTTTCACAGAAGATGAAATTTCTGTCTGCCAACTTTAAGGATAGACTTCAGTTCACAGGATATCCCCAGGCTTATCTTCAGAGCATTCAGTCCATCTCTACAGCTGATTTGTTGTCAAGTTCACATTGACAAAAACTCTGCTCACCCTGTGAAGCAGATGAGTGGGAATAGATTTAGGGAATTCATAATTGGAAATATTTCAACGTTGAAAATAAGACCCAACATGTTAGTTGTCACTTTTGGATACAGACAGAATCTTTATGGGAGTAATAGTTATGCTTAATATGTTTTGTTAATGGTTATGTAGCTGTCAAATAAATTCCATTATTTCTTATTCCATCATTAGAGACCATTAAAAGGATATTAGCATGCTGATGTAATTATGCAAGCAGACGTAAAATTACTATAGTTATGATTTTATAATCTAATTATGGGTGTCCAATGCCCCTGGTGATTGATTGTTGGACTGGTATCAGGGATTGAAGTCAGAGGGGTACTTATGTTTAGGAGGGTTTATATCTATTTTCTTTAAAAAAAGTTTGACTTTGCAATCTGCAACATTGGCTTTCTTCTTGTAATTGAGTTATTCACAACATGAAACTTTATCAAGAAACATCCAAATATAAGAAAGATGTCAAAATCTCCAAGCTCAACTTTGAAAGTAGTGGAAATGGCACAGACTTAATAGTCAAAGTCATTGATTAGAGCATAAATGACTTAACTGGTTTCTGATGAGAATACAAATAATTTTTGAATTTGTATTTTATGTTCTCACATTTGGGGTATTTCCTGCCAACACTGTAAAGGGGAAGTATCAGCTCTGACCTTAGGTGACTACCTTTGTATGGAAAGAAAACAGATTATTCTGATTTCATAGTATTTCAGGCCTTATATCCTTCCACTCACAGCCTCCAGGTAAGAGTGAGATTTTCAGCTGAATATTACATTCTCTCTAGACTGATATGATTTTCCCAATTGCCATTGAAGATCTTTTGCTCTAGGTGTCTCTTTTTCCTCCATTTTGTTCCACTTTAGCTTCCTCCACCCATTTATCTTAATGACAGTTTCCTCATTTTTGCCTTCTAATATACCAAAACTCAGTACTCAAAAAACTGAACTTTCAGAAGATGTGCTAACTTAACCAACATTTCTATTTTAATATATAATTTTTCAGCAGAAAACCTCTAGCAGAGCATTCTTTATTCATTCCATAAAACTACATTAATCTCAACCTGCTACTGTTGTTTTGAAGCGTAACAATTCACTATACAACCATATAATCTATATATATAATGTTAAGAGTGAGCAGGACACTTAGGCTAAATTTGAAATGCTAATATAAGTAGATTTTTTTTAAGTTGAAAAGACTGATTCTTATTATCTAATTTAATGTCCATTACATTTAACCACTCTTCCCCTATCATGGATTGATGCATTTATATTGTGCATCCAAAACTAAGTTAAAAGACCAAATCCCTCATCTTTCAAAGTCTAAATCTCCATCACTCAGGATTCAGGCTGGTTGTTCAGCTTTCCCCTCACAGTGCTCCCTACCCACACTGGGACTACAGGTGAATTCAGTGTTTACTGAAATAGTTTATTACATAAAAAATGAAAAATTCAGGTTAAACATATGAAGACTTCAGCTGAAAAATAGCTTTCAAATTTTGCAGCAGACATAGCTATGTGATTTCACATTTTGAAAGAAAATACTATAAATTCAAAGTAATAACTACTTTCAAATATTAACTAAGCTTGACTTATTTTAGGTGATAAGAATAAACAAAAAAATTACTTTGGACTGAACTCGAGCCATTTTCTTGTTTTGTTTTGTTCAGATGGCCAATCTTTTGAATAACACTAATTATGATAGACTTCTGAAATATTGAATCACATCTATATATTTTTCTACAGCCAACTGCTCTATTCATCAGCAGAAAAGAAATCCTCAGTTAATGAGTAGCTCTTCAATGTTTCATTTTATTTTCATTGTTCAATGTGTGGCTTCAGGTTTTATTTATTGCACTTTATTCAGATTCTGCTTTGAGGTCAGAAACCCCATTTCCTTCTGGTTTTGTTTGGATTTTTTTTTTCCTATAGTGCTCTTCACTCCACTATCAAAATGCTTGGCAAACATGAATTGATATATTTAACTCATATGAGGTATGGAGTTTTATTAGGACTATCCAGAGCTGGAGTTATGCATGAGAAGATTAGTGTCAAAGCTTTTACCACTATGAGGTGTCCAGCGTGATGTCTCACTGCATGGCTTAC